AACTGAGCCCTTTATTTCACTCACTGGGGTAGACTGTTCTAGTTCCCCGTTCCTTGTCTAATGGATGTCAGTTATCAGTTATCTCCTGCTTTATTCCCCTCTCCAAGTTCTCCACCGCCTTAACCTTTACCCACTGTGCCATGTGTCCTTAAGGACACATGGCACAGTGGATAAAGGCATTAATTAGATCCAGTAACAGGACCCAAAGAGTGCGAGTTCAATACCTGGTTAAGGCGGTAGAGACCATGGAGAGGGAATTAAGCAGGAGATAACTGATAACCAACATCCATTAGACATGGCATGTGGAACTAGAACAGTCTACCCCAGTGAGTAAAATAAAGGGTTCAGTTCGATATTCCAACCACCTGAAGAAGCCCGGAGCATACAACAGCCAAAACATTGTAATAAATATGGTGACAAAGATGAGAACAATATTCTGAATAATGTAAATCGTGTACATAATAATTCATCTCAGAAATATAGACAGATACAGATATCAATTAGTTTCATATGTCTTTATGGAAGAAAGTGTGTGTGTGTGTGTGTGTGTGAGATGGTCTTACAATATGTCAGGTTTAAATTAACTTGCCCATTAACACACACACACTTTTTTTTTGTTTTTGAACCCAGGTGTTAAAAATAAATGAAATACTATTTTTTGAAGACAGGCCTTCTTGTGCCATATCTGGCTCTACCAAAAGTAAAGGACAAAGATTATGTAGAGATAAGTGATATTACATTTGGTCATAGAAAGAACAATGGTTGAGATGCCTACAATCATATGAACCAGTATTTTTATACTGTGTGCACATGAGAGTATACAATCTTGTACATAATATTGTGGATTTTACAAGTATCACATCAAGATTTGCTTAAGGAACTTTAACTTGAGAATTGTGATGAAATATCACACCTGTTAACACACCCCTCCAACCGCATGTTAAAAAAATCTGAGATGAGACAAGATGTTTTTATACATTTCTAATTTTTAGGATATTGAGGGTTTTTACAAATATTAAAATCAGTCATAAAGTCTTTTCTTCTTGTTAATGTTTTGTGTAAAGTAGCATCAAGTTGAACGTAGGATTTCTTGTTGGACACCAATCCTTTTAGTCTGACATTATCAAGAGTTAGTAAGCAAGAAGCAGTGTTGGATTACTTGTGTTGTCTAAATGTGAAGAGAGAAAAAAAAATGTGGAAGTGGGCAAGCATGTGGTGCACTAGGCACAAGCAGACAGACAGACTTCCCCATTTCTCAGCTGACTGCTTTCCCTAGCATTCAGTTGCTTCAATATTAAAACATAAGGCCACTTATATAATAACAGGAAACCAAATTTTATTTCGATTACTGAAGATTGCAGATATTTTGCCAGGATGAAAAGATAGGTGTGGTCGGTTTGTTAAATAGGCAGAACACAGCTGAATATACGAAGAAGACTAGCAGACACTACACGGATATTATAAAAACCAAAACCGGTAGTTTAAACACACAAAGCACTTTTCTGAGTACAAGTGTGTGGGTTAAATGAGACGGGGGCAGTTAGATAACAATTATTGTACAATCCTGGTTCTGTTAATCTGAAACCAAATGTTTAAATCTGGAGGTTCAAGAGGAGAATAGAGGAAATTTCGGTTAACAAAAACACGAAGAAATTGAATTGAATACTTTGTGTGTGCTTTTTTAAAAGTATTTAAATTTTTTTTTTTTAAATTGAATCGAGTATTTATTTTCTACAGAGTTTCTTTGGTGTAACCGGGAACAAAATATGTTCAATTATGTTAAAAATAAAAAATAAGTCAACGCTTTCATACTGTAGAGTAAAGCTAAGTTTATAAAAATATGTTTCACAGAGGAGAAGCAAATGCTGGTTTCATCCTTAAAACCAAGAGAGAAGTGGTTGGACAATATTAAAGCGGACGGTTACGTAGTTATTCACAGTAACCCTTCTTAAGGTAAAGGTCAAATGAATGTCTAGAGAGAGAGAGAGAGAGAGAGAGCTCAGTCTCCCGGGACACTTGAAGCTAAACAACAATTAGGTTTGTATAACTGACTGAAGTTTATCATCAAGGAACAAACATCACGTTACTACACTGTGACTAGTGGCAACGGAAATTTTTAATAATCACGACACATTTCCTATGGGAAGGGTTTTTAAACTTAGTTAAGATTGAAAGTTGAAATTGTTTATATACTGCATTCAATGTTAAATTTGTACTGACCTCAAAAACAAATCCTGGAACTAATTTGAGTTTAAGAACCTTTATTATACCATTTCGTGGATGGTACTAATTAAAAAAAAAATCGCTCAGTGTTCGTTGCATTTACTTAGAAAAAAAGAGAAAATAAAGAACTGAAAACCATGCACGTCTAAACGGCAACACAAGATCACGAAAAAAGACTTAATTACTTTTTTAATTATATTAGATCTTCAATCATATGCAAGAAAATATAAAGTCTCTCTCTAGTCTAATTCAAAATAGGTACCGACACGTGAGTAAAGAGTAAAGACTTTATCAAATTTCTCTCCAAGTATTTTTTATACTTATCTTCAGAAAATTTAACTTTTCAACTAAAAATGTAAGATTTTATTCTAGTAGGACATCTAATGTTTTAAAAAGACAAAAAAAAAAACCCTCAAAAAACTCGTTCCACATTGTGATTGAGATCACGAGACATTTCTTCTCCAGACAAAAAAGCTGCCAATGTGATTCAGAAGATCAAAATTATAATATTCAAATAAACTAAAAATGTTTATGAATTACGAAACAATATTTCATGTATTCTTTAGTTTTTTAAAGTGTTTTAAACTTCAAGTAAATTTAAAAAAAAAAAAAAAAAAAAAAAAAAGCAAACAAAAAAAAAACCACATGTTATATTTCCTCGAAATTTAAGCCCCTCCAAGTTTTTGAGTTTTTGTCATTGAATTTTTGTTCTTGGATTTAGAGGGAATCTTTAGTTAATAATAAAAAAAATAAAAAAGCAAACATAGCATTTATAATGGATATGATGTAGGAAAAATTGTGTTGGTTTTCAATCCAGAGAGAAAGAAAATGTTTTATTTGGAAAAATAAAAAAAAAAAAAAACTCACAAGACAAATCTTATTGCACTCGTTATCAAGATTCAAGAAAGTCAAAAATGTTAAAATCATCGAACCTTTGATTTCTCATTTGAGCGAAACAATCGCTGAAAATTTATAAGATCTCAACTTCTTAATAAAAAAAAATAAAAACTACTCTACTACAACAGCCAAATTATCCGAAGAGTAAGACGAAGTTTTGATCAGTAATTTTCCAATCTTCAATAAAATTTATATGATAATTTACAACTAGAAAGAATCTATGAAACTTAGTTTATTCCCCAAAAACTGTATATAAATTTTTAAATGAATTTTTTAAAGTTATAGAGACTCAATTTTCCTAAGAGGATATAACCGATAACTGCACTAAGTAAAATGTTCAACCACGCCCTTAAAAATGAGAGCGAACTGTGTACAGATCAAAGTTTCGCTGAAGAAGATCCACCTTCACCTTTCATTGAATGAAAATAAAATAAAAAATTAAAGGCAAAAATATATTTGCTACACCTTCGAAGTATTATAGAAAATTAAAAGATTGAAAAGAAATGTTTACACTACAGAGCAAATAAACTTATTGGAAAAATTATTTTTTAAATTATTCTCGATGGTTATTTAAGGCACTGTTATGATTTATTTTAAGATTTTTGTGAGCTTTACGCTTGATTTTCTATTAATTATAAATTTAATCACTCGCTTCATTCAATTCTGCTGGTATTGTGTTTGCTACCAAAGCAAAGTGTTTAAATTTTGAGAGAGGGCGTGTTTCCACGATATGGTGCAAACCAGATAGTGAACAACATTTGGTTATACATGGCAAAATAATGTAATTTAAGGATCTGAAAAGTGAATATCTATCCAAATGACGTACAATTAGATACAATTAAAAAAAAAACAAACAAACAAAGGAAACTGAGTTTAAATTTTACATCTGTTATTTGTAAAAAAAAAAAAAAAAAAGAGACACACCTACTTAGTAATTAATTAAATGATGATCGTTTTTTTTAGCAATCATTTCAGTATTTTCTTTATTAGTCAATGCATAGTTTTTAGCTTATTTACTTTTAAGAAGTTGTAAAAAGACAAAAAATTGTTTTGTAAAGTAACTAAATAAAGTTACATGCAAAAAAAAATTAAACTAGTAAACTAAACAAGAAAGATAGTCTTTAGTTTAGAAAATACATGTTTGTTTATAATTTGACAAAAAGTTACCTATATTTATTTCTTCATAAACAAATTTTTACATTTCATTTAGTTAGGGATGATATGAAAAGATGACCATGAAGTTTGTTTGATAGATAAATTAAGTGAAATTATTCGGTAAAAATAAGTTATTTTTTTAAAGTCGAGATTTTTAGAAAGTTGCACATGAATACATAACTGGATCTATTCTAGTATTTTTATAAAATTATTGAAAGCAGGATAATAAAGTGACTAAAATTGGGATTTAAGCTTTAATTATTTGGTGAATGTGTCACCATTGATATTTTAACATCTGTAAATAAGAATGGACGTTTTACAAACTACTTTCAGGAAGAGGTTTAATGAAAAAAAAAAATCAAAGTAAAAATCAATGTGTTCATTAAAACACATAGTACTAATAAACTAAAATAGCTTTTCTCGTAGCATTAATATGTTAAAATAAAAGAAGCAAAATCGGAAAAGAAGTTTTAATGATACAAGCTGTCGATTTATGTGCTGTAAGAAGAAGCTTGTAATCAACTGACATTTAACATCCGTGTTACTGTTAGTGTTATCGAAACAAGGCACGTTTTGCTTAAATACAGAGTATTTATACTACATTGGCAAGAAACACGCAGGAGAATACAGTAGAATCAATAGATAAGCTATGCTCATTAAAAAAAATTATTTATTTAATAAAATTAATAACAGAAAACAATCTAGAAAAGGAGAGCGAGACTTACCCGGTGCCATTATCTATGACAACGGCAGGCAGACGACCGGCCATTGTAGATTATTGACTTCGTTAAAAATATTACCACCTCTACTGACTAGATGTCTGGCACAGACAGTCTCTGTCACGTCGACTGTGTAAATGGAAAGTTAGAAATATGTGCCAGATAAATTATGACAAGAAAGAAAAAAATCTAGAAAATAAAGAGATCCAAAAAGAAAAGGAACAACTAGATTCGAATCCGTGGCCAGTGGCACTGCAAGATGGCTGCCACGCACGACGAAACTCGCTTCATTTCCATGTTGCTCCAACAGCCACAGTTTAGTAAAAAAATAATATCTCATTTTGTAAAAAAATTGGTCAGGTTTTTATTCTTAAATTTATTTTTAAATTAATTAATATTTTTTTTACACATATTAAACCATAATCTATAATAAAAAAAATAATCGTATTTATCATTTCTCTTTCTTCCTACTTTTACTAGTTAATTACTCTTCCCTTTTTCTTCGTTGTTTTTCTTTCTCTCTTTCTTTGCAGTTTTCACGCACCCTCCTAAAAACACGGACTGGGTTGTTGTCATAAATTGCAGACAGGATTTTCTTTCTGTCAGTCGAATTAATTACAATTTAAATTCGTATATTATTTAAGTTTAACTTGAAAATAATTATAATTTAAATTCATAATTAACTTTGAGTTTTCAAGGTTGAAAAAGAAACAAACAAAATTAATACCAAATTTTTAATTTTAATTTTAGAAAGAAAAAAAAAAGACAGAAAATAAAAAGGAAAAAGAGTTCTCATGTTTTTTTTTATTCACTCATCTGATGGAAGTCATAATTGGACATGTGTTTCAATTAAAAAAAATCTATAGAGATAAACAGAAGCAGTCATTTAGCCATTGGGTATTTTTATTGATTTTTTTTGTTTGTATTATTCACTAACTCTTACAAATCTTGTATGTAATTGTAATGTGTATTTATTTGATTTTTAATAAGAAAAGTTAAAGAATTATGTTATTACAAAAAGCATGGAGAATGTGTGCTAATACTAAAAAATTAGTAATTAAAATAACTTGCATCTAAAGATCTCAGTGTTATGTCAAAAAGTCATAAAAAGGTGATCAACACGTGTATGTATAAACTAAAAAAAATCTCCAGGAAAAAAAACACCAAAAATTAAAACTAAAATAAGATTAGAAATTAGCAGATGTAGTAGAAAACAGATAGTGAGGTATAAAAGAAGAAGTCTTGTAGTCTTTATTTCCTAAAACAAATAAGTATATGACTTTGCAACAGGTTGTAGTCAGTCAATACAAAAATATTAACTTGTCTCCATAACTATATGCTGACTTCTTTTCCCAAAAAGGGAAGCAAAGCAACTAGAGATTGGAAGCCTTGAAAGAAATTTAGTTGTCCAGGTTTTGTTATATTAAAAATCTGAATGCCTGCATTCCAAACAATAATAAAATTAAAACAAAAAAACATGGATATGGCTGTTAAATAAATTATTTGTATTTACAAACATATATATATATATATTTAAATTTCAAATAGTCAAAAATTATTAAAAATTAGTCTTTAGTTGAGTTAGTCTTTGAATAGTTGACTCACAGAAAAATGTTGTGGTTGAGAAAAGACTTATCATTAACAAAGGTTCACCGACCATTGTGGTTCTTGTTGGAGATGATTTGTTTGAAGTCACTGACTGGCCATCCATGCTGTTGTTGGAGATGATTAGTTTGAAGATGCTGACACATGTTTCTTTCAGTGTGTACTGTGGGGACACAGTCACATCTCTTTGGCTGAAGACAGCTGTATCTCTGCTCCTTGAAAGTCAAAATTTGTGTGTTTTGATAACAAATTTTTCCCAAAAGTGGGTTTGAGAAAAAGATTGTTTTAGTTTTCGCTGATTGGTCAATTTCATATGATGATAATTTCTAACCAATATTTTAATGGAATGTGTTGTATTGTGGAATCTTTTTGGGATATTTGTAATATTGTGCTTTATTGGGTAGAAAATAAAGTTTGCTCATATGGCATGTATGTAGGTATGGAATTGTGTTGGAAATAGGGTTTATTTCCTATAGGCTTAATGACAAATGAAATTATATAAATTCTTTAAATCAATGCACATACTTTCTTTTTTCTTGTTAACTCTGAACAGTAACAATCACTAAAACATTAATTTTTTTCTATATCAGACACATGTAGATTTTTATTAATAATTTACTTTGATTTGATTGACAGCAGGTGGACATCCAATACAACAGATGAGATGGTAAGTAAATAAGATACAAAAATTGACAGTGGCTGCCAGTAGCATGCAGAAGGGGTTGGGGCAGAAGGTGTGACAGACTCAGTCATCCATATTGGGAGGGCATGTAATCAAAGAATAAAATAAAAATTTAGATTATATTTAATTTGAATAAAATATTTATTTCATGTTACATCTGTTTTTACATATTTAAAATGTCTCATATTTCTCAGTACTAGGTCCCTCTACTTGAGTCTTAGGGTCATACAATCAAAGAGTTGGCTCTGGGAATCACCAAACATCACCAAACCTCTGCATGTCATTAGTGGCTGCATTAGTCTATTCTGTCTCATCTGCTTGCTAAGTGTGATTGCATTTGTAACACAATTGAAAAGGAAAGAAAATAATTATTTCTTAATGGTTGTCAGCCAAGGGGTTATTGAAAACAAAGAGAAACAAGGTAGCAAGATAAGAATTGGTACAAGGTCACAAAACTAGATCAGTATCTGTGAGCCAAATTTGTTAACCATTAAACTATGGCAAAGTATCTGAAAAGTTATTATGTAAGAGGCTGTCGGAGTTAACTCCTCCTTCAGTTCATTAACCCTTTCACCAGGGGTCTCTTTTCCCTGGCTATAAATAGTCGCTGACACTTTGCCTCTTCCTCTTTTTCCCTCAGGCCTTTGGGCCAACACCTGGAGGTAAATCTCTCTTTTTCCTCAGGTTTTCAGCCTTATTACCTCGAAGATGTGAACGCTCACAGAGATAGCGTTTCCCAAATGCTGGGAACATGCTAAGCACAATGCACACACATGCACATATATAATATTCACACACACACTTTGTCCTTTGTAACTGTTTCCATGTAACTTGTTATTAATATATATATTTGTATACATATATTATCGATCTTGCGTTTGTTTGTTTGTCTTTGCCGTCTTCTTTGGACTTAATTAAAGTCCAACTTATTCATGTAGTTTGGGCCGGCTAGCAGGAAAATCTGAACCCACATGTGTTCTTCTACGTCTACTCAACTGCATCACAGCCACGGTCCATTACAAGGCAATGCCGAAAAGTTCTTGAACCAATCCACTTTTTAAAATCTTACTAAACATCAGAACTTTTCATTACCACCTCATATATTATGGTGCTGAAAGAAAAGAAGCTGTAGGAATATTATTATTATTATTATAAATAGATAAAAATAAAATATAAAATAATAATAATAATAATAATAATAATGAAAATTATAAATAAAATAAAACAATAACATTTAAACTGTTGCATCTGCACTTATTAGACAAACAGAATTCGTCTGGCCTGCGATCAGAGACCAGACAGAAAATGGGAGGGGGGAAGGGAAGGTTCTCTTCCAAGAACTGGCCCTAATTCAACCGGGTACAAAAAAAATATACTCCATAATCTGCATATTCAAAGAAATAAAGAAATTATTAATATTCGTATGTCTCATTGCAAATACACAATGTACTAAAAGTATACTTATAAAATCTGAGGTTAGGGCACAATTATTGGGCTAACGTAACAATATACATATATATATATATATTATGAAATGGACAAAGTCTGACAATTATTTTAAGTCGTTTTTTATACGGGACTGTCATATAACCTGATGTCCTAAGCCACAGAGGAGTGTTCTGGATAGCAAGGTCGATTTTACTCTTTTTAAACTACAAAAAATATAGGATACAGGTTCGATTCCTATTGGAGGATGCATATTTTCTATGAAAATTTCTCCGACATTCAGGCCAGTAAATGTTGTTAATACTGTTTATTATAAACAGAGCATTTACTTAAATATTTGTATCTATAAAAAGAATGTATAAAAATAAAAAATGTCTTAATATATATATATATATATATATATATATATATATATGTATATATATATTTCTTCTTGCTTGTAATAAAATTCCCTAATTTGCTTCCTTCAACCAACCGAGTGCCATAATTCAACTAATCCAACAACATGTGTCTCCTGTCAAAGATATTCACCATCAAACTAGTCACAACACATTACATTGCATCTAGACATATGGTTCTGTTGTTAATATTTCAGTCTCTCACGCGGTACGGCATCATAGAACTGCATTATAAATTTACGACCTGTGTCTGCTATTCCATGACCATTATCATTGCATAGCAATCTTCTATGTTAACATAATTGAATATCATCTTTGATAGTGAACATCTTGGTTAAATGTCCATATAACCACTCCGAAGGTGGCTCGTGTGAGTCGAAAGCTTAGATCAAGGAACAGCATAATAAAAAATATCCAAATGTTGGGAAATTTTTGTCTTTATTTTCTCCTGAAGTTAAACCAACCTTACAAAGTTTAGAACGGCTCATAATCAAATATAATAGACATTTGTTGGCTGTTATATTTAACAATATATGCTTGAATACCTGCCCCAATACACTAAACTCACACACACACACACACACACACACACACACACACACACACACACACACACATATATATATATATATCATATATATACACTCACACACATATTTATATACTTATATATATACTTATATATATACATATATATATATATTATATATGTGCACACACATATATCATATATATATATATATATGCACACACACACATATATATATTTTTACACACATGCACACACACTTATATATATTTATTTATTTTATATATATACACTCACACACACACACAGATATATACTTATATATACTCATATATATATATATATATATATATATATATATATTATATATGTGCACAGATACATATATAG